CTTAGCTTCAGCCTTTAGTTTTTATAACTTCCCTACACTTTTGGTGAAGTTTATTCTTCGTATTTCTTTAGCTGCATGTTGAAATCAGTTATTTTCATTTGTCCCTGTTATATAGAAACACATTTTTTAAAAAATTTTTAAAATTTTTTTAATTTTGACAATCCTTACAAATTTAATTGGGGTAAAAAAGGTTCAAGGCCTAAAGGGGGATATAGAGGAAGAAGCCCCACCCAGTTTCCCACCCACCCTAAGTCCCGGGTGTGGGGCATGCTCTGAGATACTCGATCAAGTGGTTCCAATAGTTCACCATTCATGGGTCGCTGCCAGTCTCGCCACTCCAAGCACGATGTGGTCATTGAAGAGTCCATTGATTGACACAGTCCCTTCTAGAATCTCCATTTGCCCAGTATTTTGCTGCCAACAGATAGCTGAGGTTGTTGCTTGACTTGTTCTGTCTTTCCTTGGTTAGGACTCTGAGTCCGGTGTCTCGAATGGGGAGATCCTCGAAGAAATTTTGAGGTATTCCCAGTCCAGATTCCTGCATGTTCTAGTAGCATAGGGCCCGGCACAGTCCATTGCCCCGATCAGCTGGTGGTTGCAGTTGCTGGGTTGGTTCTGTCTCCACCCGTGTCCTCTTGTAGTCCCGCCTGGTTCCGCCCTGGACGCACTTGTCCCTCGCACGTACCAGTAGGAGTTGCAGCCCAGTCAGGGCGGCCCACAGTAACCCCAACCAGGTCCACCCCCTACCCTGGCTTGCCAGTATGTATGGCATACTAGCCCAGTCTGTCCCAAATACCCTTCTGTTCATATACTTGCCAACAGGTGTTGCAACCTACTTCCATCCAACCATCTCCTCCTACCGTCCCTAACGGATATTGTTGGGTGTCTGTCTAGCCACCCCAGCCCCTGTCCTAGTTCCCATGCCCTCCCGTGGAAGGTGATTACCCATGAGGGAGGAGCCCACTATTTCCCTCCCAGGTCGCTCCCATTCCAGTTGTGCCCTCTCCAGTTGGCCCTGTGGTTCAACTCAACGTGTCTAACCCTTTGTACCAGCTTCCGCCAGCTGGTGCTACAACTAAGCCCCAACAACCCTCACCAACTCTGACTGTAGCTTGCACCAGTGGGAATAGTCAGCCCAGCCTGGTTTTCACCCAATCTGGTCCACATGAGGTGTACAGGTGCTGTGTCCCTGCCTGGTCTGGTCTACCCCCTACCCAGCTCACGCTCCTCAGTGTAAGTTGCTGTTCAGCTAGGGAACCTCCCCTTATTCCCCTGTCAGCTCTGCCTCCTCCTTTCCTGGTTCTCACGTGTGTTGGTTGGGTGCTGCAGCTGCATCTGGCTCAGGCTACCTCACCTTGGCATTCCAACTTGTGTGTTGCTTTTGTCACGACCGGACCTGGTTCAACCCATACTCTGTTCTGGCGATCAGATTTACCAGTGGATGACATGAACAGATTCAGCCTGGTCTGCCCCCGACCCATACCAAATGCATGCCAGTGGGACACTTTCTATGACCTCTTGGCTGTTACCTTCCATGTTCCTTGCGCTGACCTGCAGGGTCTATGTCCTGCCAGAGGAGTTGCCTAAGCTCCTCCCTCAGAACCCCTCCATGTGCCAGGTTTCATGCATATCAGTGGGTCCATGTGCCAGTTCGCCTCTTGTCCTAGCAGGAACAGTGGCCTTTCCTAACTGGCCATCATCCCGTTCTGGTTCTTGCTGTAGAGTGTTTCAGCCCAGCCACGGTTGTCCATGCCCCCATATAGCTCGTATATGGCTCAGTTGAGGTTGGGACCTAGCCTAGTCCGTCCCACATCCACCCTGGTACTCCAAAGCACCAGAAGGTGTTATGGTCTGGCCTGGCCCGGTACGTCTTTTTCCAATCCACATTTGCGCCAAGGGAGACGACAACTGTATCCAGACCCTGCCGCAGCCCCATCCACCTGTCATGACCCCTGCCTTAGACACCGTGGCTCAACTCTGTGCTTAATGTGGACCAGTTGGAGCCAAAACCAAGCTGGGCATGTCCTGTGCTGCACCCTGTGTTCCAGTCATGTTTGTGGACTAAGGTTTGCTTAGTCCGAACATTCAGCTCTCAGTCCCACACTTACATTAAGGTTTCATGTCCCAGTTCCTGGGAATCACCAGAAATTAGTGTCTCACCTACGCTAACGCTGGTCTTACTTTTGGGTGTCCCAAAGCAGCTATTTCATATCATCAAAAACCCCAGAGCTCGCGGCTGGGCAGCCAGCAGGCAGAGCCTGGCACCACTTGGTGCACTGGCCGCCCAAGGCCGGGGTCTCTGCCCCTGTCTTGCGACGGGGGCTGTGGCTGAGACCCCGGCAGGGTTCCGTCCAGCAGAGGTGCCCCCAACAAGTGAAACACATTTTTAAAGATAAAAGTTTTTCTTTGAGAACTATTGTAGGTGATTTCCATGTTCTGAAAATATGTGTTTTTGTTTGTGTTTTATATGTTTTACATTTTCACATTTCACTGCTTCTTTGGCTCCCATGTAGTTTTAGCCCTTTACATTTATTAAAATTGAAAAGTTGAGATGTCTGGGTAAAAAAAATCATAGTGATAACCATTAGTTTCAGTTGTACTGTTCTCTTCCTGAGCTCTTTTGCCCATGACACAAATTTATTTGTGTATTATTATTCAAGAATGATACAGTGTAGATGGGTCAGACATTTCACCATTCCATTGTAGTCAGTACTTTTGAGAAATACGATTCTAGGAGACTATATAAATATTGAGATAGCAGAGGAAAGCAACTCTCTGCAAAAATTGAAACATGAACGGAAACGGTACCTTCGGATTACTTAAGTGGTAACTTTTGGGTGGAATACTCAAGAGAGACATAATCAAGGAGTCATACAGAGATAGGGATGAATGAGTGATTAAATAGGCTTGGTGGCTTGGTAAAGGCGTTGTTGTTGTTGTTGTTAATCATATTCAAAAACTGAGGGAGGAGTAAGAAAAGTGGAAAGAAAGTGTTTTGTCATGACCCAGCACTAACATTCTCTAGATATGTCAGCATGAAGGAAACTGAGGAGTGAGAGGCCATGGAATGTAGTGTGTGGGAGTACTTGTTAGTGGGAAGATAAACTCATTCATGAGTCAAATTATTAGGAGATACTGAGCATGAAAATAGAGTTTAGGTTAAGGACAACTATCATAAAGACAAATATGTATACTTTTAAAATATTAGAAGATGAATTTATATTCAGTGAACAGGAATGGAAAAAAGAACAAGTAGAAACCATGAGCTTGTTGAAAGGTCATTCCTAAGATGTTGTCAAGAAAACCTGTAATTAAGCAAAGCTGATACTGATACCTTTGTAAGGAGATCACTGTCTCAGAAGAACCAAGTTGAGACACCATGATTTTAAATTTGGTTCAAAATGAATCTTCCCGTTTGGAGAGTGCTGTTTTGTTTGTGTAAGGATTGTTTTTACAGTTTTGTTAAGGATTTCTGTGTAAACTCTGGGTTTTGGCATACAAATTGTTATTTGATATTTTTTGTTGAAGGGTTGATGGGTCTTTTAGGAAGTTCCTGATATGAGCAAGACGTTTGTTTTTTTAAGAACTATCTTTCTGGGCCCAGGGTGATAGTGTAGTGGCTAAAGTCCTCATCTTGCATGCGCCAGGATCCCATTTGGTCACTGGTTTTAATCCTGGCAGCCCTGCTTCCCATCCAGCTCCCTGCTTGTGGCCTGAGAAAACAGTCAAGGACGGCCCAAAGCTTTGGGACCCTCCCACGTGGGAGGCCTGGAGGAGGTTCCTGGCTCCTACCTTTGGATCAGCACAGCACTGGCCATTGTAGTCACGTGGGAAGTGAATCATCGGACGGAAGATCTTCCTCTTTGTCTCTTCTCCTCTCTGTATATCCGCCTTTCCAATAAAAGTAAATAAATCTTAAAAAAAAAAAACAAAACAAAAAGATCTGGACAAGTCTCCTAACACAGTGTGTTGTTATAACATAAACAGTATGGTATGCTATGTGGATGATTTTCATTTTTAGAGGCCAGAGATGATACTGCTTTCCTGGGGTTGCTGTAGCACCCATCTGCTCTTTTACAATGCTACCAGATTTGTTTTACTAGTGTTTTATTTAGGATTTTTGCAAATTGGCCCATTTTCTTGCCTTATATTTCCAATGTTTAGTTTTAGTATCAAACTGTCGAATTATTTCTTCTTTCTTACTTTCTGGTTCTTTTTTCTTTTTTTTTTTTTTTTAAAGATCAAGATTATCTGTTGAAGAAGTGAAGATGGACAGATTTTTTTGATTTCTCTGTTCACATTTTGTTTTATGATTTCTTAGCTTCTTTTTGATTATTAAGGATCATTATAATTTATGGCTATTTGGTATTGCTATATAGATATCAGCTTTTCATATGTTTTCTTCTCTGAATTTGAAATGGGAGATCATGGTTATTTTAGCAACTCTGTTAATTTGAGCAACTCTCTTTTTTTTCTTTTTGGTTTTGTTTTTTCTGTATTATTTTGAGCAACTCTTCTTTTTTGCTTGAATTAATACCTGTTTCCTTCTCATCTTAATTGCAGAAATGGATATCTGAATGTTTGACTAGGCCAAAAATGAAGGAGGATTAGTGCTTCTGGTTTTCTTTAATGTGCTATCTTTACTAAATATATTAAACTGTATATATGAGTGCACTTCAAAAAGTTCTTGAAAGGTGGAATTAAAAGCATAAGTATGCCTTGATACAAAAGTTTTTTTGGTGTAAAAATGATTTTTAATAGTATATGGAAAAATGTATATTCTGAACAAAATAAGGTTGAATTTCAGCGGGGTTTTTTTCCACCAAAGTAAACTGACATTTGTAATTTCAACCTTGTGTTGGTGTTAAGTTTTTGAAATACTTTGTATTCTGGTGAAAGAAAGGAATTGGATGTTATTTTTGATTCTTATATTGTTTAAAAGTGCAATATGCTTTTTGTGAAAGAAATATTCTTAATGGCATTTGTTGTTGCCTGAACAGGAAGTTCCCAAATGGGTGCTACTATAGTAGATGCTCTGGATACCCTTTATATCATGGGACTTCATGACGAATTCCGGGATGGGCAAAACTGGATTGAAAATAACCTTGACTTCAGTGTGGTGAGTAAGCAATTAATAACTACTCTTTAGATTGACTGTAACAGGACACATTGTCTAACAGCTGTGTTCTGAATGCTTGTATCCTTCCTAAATTCATGACTGAACTTCATCACTAATGTGATACTCTTAGCAGGTGGTATTCTAGGAGGTGATTAGGCCATGGTGTTATTGCTTTCATGAATGGAGCTAGTGCCCTTGTAAATCAGGCCTCAGAGAATTGCCCTGCCCCTTCTCCACTCTGAAGAATCAGTGAGAAACTTCTAAGAACCAGAAAATGATTCCTTACAAAACATTGAATCTTTTGGCATCTTAACCTTGCACCTTGTAGCCTTCAGATTTTTGAAAAATAGATTTCTGTTTTTCCTGGGCTACACAGTTTGTGATATTTTTGTTTCATTAGCTTGAATGGACTAAGATGCTAACCACAGGAATTTTGTGCATTATATTAGCTATTTAAAGAATATTAAATTGTTTTTCCTTTTCTGTGGCTTTTTAAAATTTTTTAAATAACATATAATTTTTTCTCATCATTTTTCACTTATTCCTCTTGCTCTTTTATTTGGAAATAGGACAGGCTGAAATAACACATGCTTTGCCACACTTTTATTGTTTTGAGAGGCAGGGAGAGAGAGAGAAAGAGAAAAGAAATAAGGTTCCACTTACTGGTTAACTCAGTAAATGCTTGCAACAAGAGCCTGAGCTGAGCTGAGCTGAGCTGAGCTGAGCTGAGCTGAGCTGGTAACAAGGAAGCAGGAACTTAGTTCACATCTGCTACATGGATCTTGGGAACCCAGTTGCTTAATCTGTCACAGCTGCCTCCTGGGCTCTCTATCAGCAGGAATCAGTTAGGAACTGGAGCCAGGTGTCAAGTCCAGGTATTCTAATATGGTATGCAGGCATGTGCGTGCTCCCCTTTGTTGCCTTTATCACTTGAGGCAAAGGTGGGAAATTTAGAAAAAACATTGAATTAAAAATATCAGGAAACCACAAGCTGCCTGATGAGAGAGAGAGAGAGAGAGAGAGAGAGAGAGAGAGAGAGAGAGTGTGTGTGTGTGTGTGTGTGTGTGTGTGTGTGTAAGAGTTAATGATTTGGCACAGCTGTGATGAGTCTTCATAATAAGCCTATGCATAGTCTTTGGCATAATTACTGCATGGCATTGCTTAGTAGATTTGAAGCCCAGGGCAGTTACATTCCAGCTGTGTGACTTGAAAAGTTTGCCATTCTTTATAAACCTTTGAAAAATCGTTACTTGTTCAAATACTGTGAGGAGTGATGTAATCTGGTACTTATTAAGTGCTCAGTAAATGGTAGCAATTATTTTTATTGTTATCAGTCTTCACTTAAAAGATTCTATCATGTACTTGCTATTCCGTGTGACTATAGCTGCTTCTCTATATGCTTTTCTTTCTAGCAGATTTCTTATTATTTTAATTGTGATTTGAGTCCATAGTGATTTCCTTTCGTTTCCTGGTGCTGACTAGTTAAAAACTTTATCTTGTGTGCTAGCATTTTGAAAGCTAGCTATATTTATTGACATGTCTCCATTAGAAAGATTTTCATTACCAGTTAGGTTTAGTTTTGGCTGTTGAGTGGCATAAAATTTAATATAAATTAAATGAAAGAATTGTTTATTTCTCTTTTATGTAAACCAAACACAGAGATCAGAGGTCAAGGATTTGATAGCTGCATTATCAGAAGTCTTGGATCCTCTTTCTTGCTTCTGTCAGCTTTAGAATACAGCTTCAAATCCATGCTACAAGATTATTTCTAAATATCCAGGAATCTTACCCACCTTTTAGTTCAAAGAAAGATACACGATTGTTCTTTAAGAATACTCCTCAGTTGTTCTACCTGTTTCTGCCTGAATACTTCTGTGTAGGCTATTTTCATATGGTCCCATGTAACGGTACCAAGGAAGTTAGGTATTATGCCTTTTTTTTTTTCTTGCATGACTTTGTAGCTTAGAGTTTCTGATTTTTGTATCTTGTTTATGAAATCCCCTAGGTCAAGGTGGTGAAGGCATGAAATTCATGTATTTTATTCTAGACATTTTGATACATTGGTTTTGTATCTAAAGGCAATCCATATGGAATTGATTTTTGTTTAGGTGAAATAGTCAGTTGATCCTATTATCGTTAATTTCCTCACTATTTATATATGTCACATTAATTATGTGTTAATCATATGTAGTTTATTTTTCATTGAATTTGTCATTATCCATATATCAGTACTAAGCTGTCTTAATCATGGTACTTTTTTGTGGGAGTGAGGGGGTTCTGAAAGCTTATGTTTGTTTGTTTAAAGCAATTTCCAGGTTTATCTATGAGTTTCTATCATATTCACATTTCTGTATTGTTTTTTAATTATATGTCTTAATACATTTTTTCCTTTCCTAATTTTTTTATTTTAATGAAAGCACTGTTTTTGAAATTTTGTTTCAAGCGAGACAGTAAGAGGGTCTTTCAGAAGTTCACAGAAAATGTATATATGAAAAGAGATTGTAAGGATTTACCATTTTTGTGCAAAAATGAACTTATCTTGTAATTTCAGTTCTCTGCAGACTTTTTGAAATCCTTCACAGAAATAATGCTGTGTTCTAGTTTCAGTAAAAAATATGTACTTGCCCTTCTACCCATATATTTATAATTTATCAGAAATAGCACAGCCATAATTCCCTTGTTGATTTTTATAATTTATTGATTTGATTTGAAATAGAAAGATTGGAAAAGGAATAGAGAGAGAGGAAGTAAAGGAGTCTTTCATCTGGTGGTCCATTACATATGTCTGTATTTTCCTGGGCTTGGCCAGACTGAAACCAGGAGCCAAGAACTCCATCTGTGTCTCCCACATGGATGACAGGGACATGAATAATTAAATCTTCATGCATTGCCTCCCAGGAAGCTGGATTGGAAGCCCAGAGTAGCTGGGACTCTGGTTTAGACAATAATTATGATACTTCTATAAAAAAACTTAACATCTGTCTCTGAATCTTGATATTTTATCTTATTACACAAAGAAAATAATTTTGTTCTTTCTAGTTAAGAAAAATTGTTGAAATTTTGATGGGAGTTTCATTTAATTTACAGATAATTTGGAGAAAATTTGCATCTGTACAATCTCAAATATTGTCATTTGTTGGCATGGCAGGTTTATTATGTCTAATTCTTCATATTATTGTACCAATCAGGGCTCAGTGTCCAGTACTGTATTATTTGTTTTGACTAGAAGACTCAAATGTGCAGAATTGTTAATCAAGTAATGAGAATCCAGAAAGGAAAGAAAAGAGCATTGTATTATTACCTTTAGGTTATTACCAGTTAGTAACTACAAGAAATATTACCATCTGTGGTACATTGTCAATAGTGGGAAGAATATAGAATCATGAAAACACAGCAGCTCTGACCTTTGTAGCCATTTGGGGAGGGAATCAGCAGATGGAAAATTTCTTGTTCTCTTGCTCTCTGTCTCACCTCTCTGTAACTCTGTCTTCCAAATAAAAAATAAATGTGTGCATGTGTATATTTGTGTGTGTGTGTGTGTGTGTGTGTGTGTGTGTGTGTGTGTATGTCTTGAGCTCAAAAAACTAGGTCTTTGTGCTGCTCACATGTGGTTGGTGGTTTAAGGATTTCTGTCAGATCCTGTGAGAGAGCTAGGCTTCAGAGGCAGAGTTATCTATGGCTATCTTTCAGGGACACATGAGGCAGGTTCTGGTTTGTGTGTATGACAGAGGAACTGTAACTCGAAATCAGTTGATACTGCCATAGTGAAGAACTGTTAAAAATGACTTTTCAACAGGATTTATTTATGAATGCTTTGTTTTATAGTATTGCTTGATTCAAATCTTTTTGTTTGCCTTTTAATTTTGTGTATATATATATTTTTTATACTGCTAGTTTGAATTTTAGGGAGGTTTTAAATGTACCAATTTGTAATCAAAAGTATTGATTTTACATTTATTTTCTCAAGGAGTTTTATGTATTGCCACATTTTGTTCTATTTAATTTTCACTTGATTTGTATTTAAATAATTTGTATTTCATTTTGATATGAGTATCCAAATAAATTTCCTAATTAGGAGCCTAATTTTTCAATGTTGTTATATGAAATACATAACTCCATCATGTTTAGCAATACTTTAATATTGCTATTAATATACTGCAAAAATATTTAAAACTCGTAAGGAAAAATAGAGATAAAAATTTTGTTGTGATGATGAAAACATAAGGAATGAGATCCACAGAGAGTACCGTACTGGAATTCAAGATCCAGATTTAACAAGCGTTGATGAGGTAGGGACAATGGTTACCCTGGTTAAATGTCTTGATTCTTTCACAGTGCCGTGTAGGTACACAGAGCGAACTACAATTAGAAAGTTGTGGTGATAGTAATAGAATTAAGACATGGCAGATGAGATTTCAAGTAGCACGAGGAATGAAGTTGGAGAAAGTGGAAAATCATTGTTTACAAGTGTGGGAACCAATTGAAATATTGGAAATATGTGAAAACCACAAAGATTTACATATTTGTAAATATGTCTCATATGTTTTTACAGAATTCAGAGGTATCTGTGTTTGAAGTCAACATTCGATTTATTGGAGGCTTACTTTCTGCATACTACCTTTCAGGAGAAGAGGTGAGCAAAATCAAGCATACACTACTTGTTTGGGGTGGGGAAACCATGTAATAAGTGGAATTTAATACAGTGAAAGACTTCCCAAGTGACATGTTGCTTTTCTGATTTGAGCAATATTGAAGTAATCTCTATACACTGAAAGGAACTGGATGCTTCAGGTAAAATTGTTTGTTGGATAAAAAATTTTTCACTTTGAGAACCCCAATAAAATAAAAATTCACTACAGGTGCTGGCTGTACATGTATCCCATCTGCTTTGCAAGAGTTCTGTAGAGTTTTGCTATTGTGACTAATTGTATGATCCACACAGATGGGGAAAATAAACTGATAACGCAAAAATCAAGCAATGAGTCAGTAAGAATTACTAGAGGTTCTTCAGACACGAGAATTACTTATTAAGACATTCTATTTGGAAAAAATGCTATGCTTATTTCTTTGAATAGTTTTTTTTCTTTAATACACTTTGAATTCTGCTTTCTAGAAGTCTTGAAATACTACATATGGGTATACTTGAGACCTAGGGCAAATGGGCCAGTGGGTGTGAGAAATTCTTTTTTGCTAGTCAAATAGGCTAAAGGATGAGGTTATAGAGAGGTGCAAGAAAACCTTAAATGAAGTCATTTTATTCATATTTCTGTTCATATTTCATGCATGTTTCAGTTTTTGGGAAACTGAAATATTTTACCAATATTTTCAAACTGGTTTGTCGATCTAAATGATTTGTAAATTTAAGAAAATTCATCTTTTGTAACATGTATTGTAAAGGCGTATTTCTGTGTTTTCTTCGATTTTTAAAAAAAATTTGCTTATGTTTAAACCAGCCATTTTTTAGACTATTTCCCCCCACTGTCATGATTTCTAGGTTTTGGACCTTTGCTTTTTCTTACGTGTGTAATTATACAATGGAATCCCTACTTCTTTTCTGAGTTTTTCTGCCTGTGTGAGTTCATATTTAAATATTTACTATATCTTTTTGTGTATATATGTGTAAAATGAGCTAACTATGCTCTATTTTTTGGAAGAAGTTAATATTTGGTATATTTTATTAGATAAAAAATATATTATTTAATATATAATTATACCATAAAAATTTGTTAGGGAATTTGGTTATGTTTACAACTTAAAAGTCAGAGGCCTCCAATGCATGAATAATAAAAAAGACAAAAGAAATTTGCACTTTAGCAAACATGCTTTTAAACTTCATTTTGTGTCAGAATAAAGTCCTATCCACAGGTCTCTTATGCAGTTGTTTAGAATATAATCATTGTTCTGTATTTTTTTCTAATTACTCATTGTTAAAGGTCATTTTGGAAATGGTGATCCTATACTTTGAGAAACCGACCTAGCGTATGTAAATAAAATCACTGTAAATTAATTGGTAGTGATTTTAAAGTCAGGTTTATTGAGGTGTTATCTACAGAATAAAATTCATCCATGTTAGTATATAGTTCTGTGTGATTGACAGTGCATACAGTCTTGAAACCACCAGCACAAGCAAGAAACTAGAATCTTATCCCTGAAGATTCTCTTTTACGTTTTATAGTTAGTGTAGCCCCCCTCACCCCCGTTACCAAACGCTGGTAACTACCATCCTGGTTTCTGCTCTGCAATTAAGAAGACTGATTTGCTTTCTGTAACATACTGCATTTGAGACTTATTCATGTATTACTACTTCATTCCTCCTTACTGCTGTATAGTCTTTAGTATCAACAGATAGAATATATTTCATTCATTCACCAGTGGAGTCATTTGCTTAAAGAATTTATATAAGGGTTGTGTGGTAGCATAAGTTTTCATTTCTCTTGGGTAAATGCATAGGGATGAGATTTGCCTAGTCACAAGGTAAGTATGTATTTAACTTTGGAGGAAACTGCCAAAAATCTTTCCTAACAGTGGTTGGCATAAATAGTATTATAAATTTCTTTATTGTTTTTAGTCATTCTACTGGATATGTTGTATTTCACTATGGGTTTTTTGTTATTGTTGTTACATTTCTATAATAATCAATTATTTTGAGTACCTTTTCATGTGCTTATTTGTTTTCATATACCTTCTTAGGTGAGTTGCCTGTTCAGAATTTTGCCGATGAAACAATTGTATTTTTTTTCTTAACACTGAATTTTGATAGTTCTTTGTATATTTGTAACATGGGTCTTCATAATCTATGTGTTCGCAGGTTTTTTTCTCTGTTACTTGTACTTTCTGGAACTTAATATACTTTTAAAAGTTGCTATTCTTTTTGTTTGTTTTGTTTTTCAATTCAGAAGGCAGTGAGACACAGAGTAGCAGAAATAGATCAGTCACATTTGCTGGTTCCCTGCCCAGATGGCTGCAGTGGCCCAGGTTAGACGAGGCTAAAACCAGGAATCTGGTCACTCAGTCTTAGTTCACCAAGTGGGCAGCAAGGACCCAGGACTGGACCCATCACCAGCTGCCTTCTTGGTGTGTCTCAGCTTGGAAGCAGGACTCAGTAGCACAGATGTAGCATGACACTAGGCGTGCTGACATGGGATGCTGGCCTCTCAGGTGGCATCTTAACTGTTGTGTCATACACCCCACACGGCTTGAAAGAACTGTAGCTGTTACAGTTTAAAGAATTACAGTTTATTATTATTATTACTTTTTTACTTTCCCCCCAAAGAATTATAATTTATTATGACTCACGCTTTTGGTATTGTATCTCAGAAGTATTTGGTTCAGCCAATTTCACAAAAATGTATATTTTCTTCTAAATTTAGTATAGTTTTGAACTACTGACCTTTTTGTTTTTAATTGTCTATCTTGAGTTATGTTCTTCATATGTTATGAGATATAGGTTGATGTACTTCCTTTACATTTGGATAGCTGGAGTCCTGCCACCATTTGTTAGAAAGTGACTCTGACTGTGTCTTTGTGGACAATCAGTTATTCCTCATTGGCTGAAATAATAATGAGAGGGACATTATGTAGAGCATAATGATGCTTTTTTGGGAAAAAGAGGGCAGTGGAATGATAATACACATGCCTTAGTAAGATGGAGGGCATATCCAAGGAGGCTAGATCAAGGGGAAGTTTTTAAAAGCAAAACAAGAAATTTTTATAAGCTGCTTGGATGTGGGCTTCACCCTCTGTGCGACCACCCAGGGTGCCACAATGTGATCCCCAAGGATGAGTTTTGTTGCATGAATTTGTACATACAAGCAAGGTTTGGATATCGGTTGACAGAGAGGGAATTTTTCATGAAGTTTCAGCGTATCCATGAAACATTCAGGCATGAACCCTTCCTTCCCTTCATTGCTTCCTGTCTCATTTTGTCCGAGTCTGAGAATAAAATTTAATCTTGGAGTTTTCGTTCATGGCATACATTACATCCTTTGATCCTCACAAGTAAGCTTTTCTTTTTCTTTGCATTTAGAATGAAATGCTAAGGCTCTGGGAGGTTTGGTGTGTGGTCTTACAACACCCACTATAACCACTATAAAGTGACAGATTAGAACAGGAGCTCACTCTCCTGGGTCCAGGTTCAAGAGATGGGATGAGAAACGTTAAGAGGGTTACCATGTCCTGATGTCCACTTGCCTCAGAAACTTGAGAGGGGCAGCATTTCAAGGGCAGAGAGCAAACCTTCCCTGGAGGAATCATTGGGGCCGACACCTTGGCCACCCCCAGTCCTGCTGGGGTCCTGGGAGCTGAGGGCCAGCAGGTGCATTTGGTGGGTGGCTCTTCAGGAGTTTAAGATTCTGGGGAACCAGGACAGCAACCTGGAAACCACAGGCCTGGTTTTGTCCTTCCCTGGGCCAGAGCTGTTTGGCGACTCACTGTGCCTCCCTGACCTTCATCTGCAGTGAGGAGATAAGGGTTGAAAACACCCAGCACCTCCTTAATTCTGCTTTTATCTGTATTGTAACTATAACAAAGGACAGGAAGCTGAGGAGAAAATATGGGGGTTGGAGAGCATAGGAATGTAATCTAATCCAGAAAGAAGTTCTTTCCCTGGGATGGTTGCAAGGTTATTCCTCAAAGTGGAAAAAGTTACAAGGAATGGGTTGTTTGGAGCCATGATGATCCACTATTGCTCCCTTGTTACTTCTTAGTACATCCTGTGGGTGACTGAATAGGTCCTAGCAGCTATGGGTGTTTTAAGGGAGAAGAGCCAGAAACAAGTGGAATCTTCTGTGAAGTAGTATCCGCTTGATCTGGTCTTTGACTGACTACAGTACCTGAGCTACAGTTTGTTCTCTGTAGGAATGTCTTCACTCCTGATGGCACTCACTGTACTTTTTTGCTGGGGATCACTTTGTAGAATCGCCTACCCAGCTACAGTTGTATCCATTATAAGAAGATCTTATTTCTTTGTATTCTGCGGCAGAACTCTTCCCTTTTTACATTGGTCTTTAGCATAAGGCTCAGTGAGTTCAAGAGGCATTAATAAAGGCCAAAGCAAAACAGATGTAGATACTGCTTTTTAAAAGAATTTCATTTATTTATTTATTCTCGTTTTATTTGAGTGACGGACAAATCAAGCAATTGGCAACTTCTGGTTCGTTCTGCAAATGCCTACCAACCCATGGGGCTGGGCCAAGCTGAAGTCAGGAACCCAGAACTCAGTCTAGATCTCCAAATGGTGGGTAGGGACCCAGGTACTTAAGCTGTCATCTACTGCCTCCCAGGCTGTTCATCAGAAGGAAGCTAGAATTCAAAGTGGAGCCAGGACACAAACAGTCATGCCTGGTTTGGAATGCAGGCATTCTAAGTGGTGTGTTTACTGCTGTGCCAAGTGGCTGCTCTGATGCTACTCTTGTGTATCACTGTGAGGCCATCCAAGAGAGAGATCTCCTCAGTCCTGTGGATGTTGTTGCAGCTGTTCTTGTCAAAGGCTTTTTGTTCCTTGACACCAAAAAAGAAGGTCTCTGTGACTGCCCAGAATTAGTTTGGCTTTGTTTACAAGTTTACAGGGAGAATTCTAATACCAGCACGTTTATCGTGGTCCATAGCTGATTCCAAGGAATCAGACTCTTCTTT